CACCACCATAAATAAATGAAATGGGCTGGGGATAAGAAAAACAAGGCAGCAACATATTCTGCACTGAATGACCCTGCGTTTGGGGGGAACAGGAGCAGGAGAGACTCTGCGAAGTGGGGAGTCCAGGATCATCCAGGAATGACAGAAGCCCTATGTAATCAGAGCTTCTGATTTCCTCAGAGGAACCAGAGAGCTTCGTTGTGTATACATGAAAACTCCTGGTTATTTAAATGTTAGCAACTGTTCCACCAATTTAAAAGTCAAGGAGACCATCCCTGAAAGGGCAAACAAAACATGTCTCTAGGCCAAATTTGGGCCCAAGACACTCATTTGTGACAGGTGATTTACACACACATCCTACTGTTCCTGTGTGCAGCGGAATATACAGGGCTGAGACCCTCTACCAGTTCTTAGGGTCCCTCCCAAACACTTCCCTATCACTGCTGATGTGGCTGTGTCCTCAGAGTGCTAAGATTTTTCAGAGAGTTCTTCATGTACCTTCATGTGTGGACACTATAAACAATTCTTCTCATGAAAAGTTAACTAGGCCTTGAACCAATCCAACAGGGTCACCATCTGGGACTCCTCAGAAACAGTGAACTGTCAGCACTGTAAACATTTTAGACTTCATGGAAGACACTGACTTTTTCTAAACTAATCATCCTTGCCAGTCAAGATTTGCGGTATGGGTTCAAGAACAAGGCATTCATTTAACAACAAGAACAAGAACACTGAGGATGAAGACCGGGAGGCCATTATAAAGAAAGGCCTAAAAGCAAACTGTGACTTCCCTAATAAGGGGACGACCCAAGTCAGCTCCCTGGCAGGGGGAGCACCAGTACGATTAATCAGTCTGTTTTCAGTTTTCTCACGACAGCAATATTAACAGTTTGCTTTCTTCTGTTTATATGGCGTTGACAGGTCTTCAGCATGTTGGGCCTACTTGCTGGAGATTAATGGCTACTCCTGTACAGAGGTAAAAACCAGGCAGGGAGAGAATGCCTTTTACAACTGGGTAAGAACTGACTTCTCTTGCTCTCTTTCGTTCCCCTATTGCACACCAACTCCTCCCTCCTTTAATTCCTATCAAGATTATATAAGATTAGTTGTATCCAGTAGGTTCTTATGTTTATATGCCACTTTAAATGTTGTGCCTCCAAGTGAAACAAAGGGAACTTTACACATTACTTCTAGATAAGTTTATCATCTCTAATCAAAGGTGCAGGGCTGGCTAATTTTGTTTTTAAAACGTCAGATTCCTTATAAAGGTAAAAGGTAGGTAAGCGATGGCCTCTGGTGACAGGAATTTAGTTATTAGGTGGGTGATGGTTATTTAGAGCACACTCAAAAAAGGCAGAGCTGACATTAAGGCCC